TCGAGAGGACGGTTCGGCCAGAGGTGAGCGTTGAAGATTTGTGCTCCAGAGCCATTTGTCAGCATATTTCTCATATCCGGGGGTATGCGGCAGAATTTTGTCGACCAGTTGTTCTGCATGGTCGACCACCAGTACTGCTAATACCTGCTCAAACATATGATAATCTTGTTACGATAAATTTCCCCTCAGAGCGCTTACCAGGGGTCACTTTTCCTTTCGGTAAGCACCATGTTTCCGTTATTTTCAAGCCCAACCGCAAAATCACATAATCGTCAGGTATCCAGGGTCCTTTGTGGCTGTGGCTTATACGTGTACTGATGATGCCATTAATGCGTATCCTTTCGTTTCATTTTATTTCAACACACTTCCAGAGGTGGTTCCGATCCAATTAGTTCTTGTGCAGGTTGGTTGATGACGGAGGAAGTAAACAATTGAGCTAGGTAGGGACCGTTGCACAAAGGTACCAAAACCCTCAAAGGAATTCGCATTTCTAGTGAGATAATCGGATCAGTATTGCCAAGATTCACTGTAGAACAATACGTAATCAAGATCAAACACTTTTTGCACATTTTAGACTCCGCATTATGCCTATTATGAGATTAGAACACACGTTCATTGATTCATCTTCTAGCCTTTTTATTAATCAATTTATTTGATGAATAGCACACGAGGTGAACCCCATAATCGTGAACACCTATTCAATGATGGAAACCAACAGCCTAAGCCGGCACTTGTAAGGTAAACCACATAAGGCCTCGTTAGGTTAGGTGTAGTATTGAAACGGACGACAGCAAAGCTGCCTGTCTTCTTATTTCATTCTATACGATCCCCTCTCCATCCAGATCACTTTGATGTATTGACTGCATAAGGGCACTAACGTCAATCAGAGTAAGGTGAAAATTTGCTCTAACTTCGAACTAATCCGTTTTCTCCTACCGAAAGCCTCACTATGGTCGGGGGTGAGTGTCTAGGGTTTCGGCTGTTCACGCTTCCCTTGCATCTCGCGAAATGCTCCCATGCGACCAACAGTCTCAAATAGCCTCTGCTGAGGAAGCCCTACTCACTGCCTTCCCGTAGCGGAGGTGTTTTCCCACCAAAATGAGAAGACAAAAAGCCAACATCCGGGGCTATAACCGGGTTGGTGAACCACTGTTAGTTCACCTAGGGGATTTGGCCAAAACCCTGATTTCAAACTAACCAGGAGGAGGCGTACGAACCACACACACCTTCCCAGTTGTGGCAGTGGTCACCGGCTCGATTGGGCATCTTGGACGTTCGACCCCGTCCAAAGGGCGTATGATCCGATGAACTGGATACCGGCCCCTCTGCCTTGTGGGTCAGGCTTTGACTAGCCGAAGGCTTCGGTTGTGAATTCCTCAAGAAAATTCACCTGCATTGAATTGGGCAACCTGGCAATATTCATCCCACATGCAAATCATGGAACGTTTTTCTTTTTTGTACAGATTATTGTACCATGATTTGTTTAGCACACAACCTGGCGTCAGATGTGTGTGTGAAATATGATATAGTATATTACTCTCTTCTTCTGGTTTGTCCCAATGGAAATAATCAAAACTGACATCCGTCTCTCATTTGGACTCACTGCATCATGCATTGTATTGTCTTTTCTTACTGGTGTTGCTCTCTCTCTCTTTCACTGAACTGGGTCGTCTTAATTTCCCAGCAATGTCATGTTTAAAGTAAAATCCGTACTGGCGTAGTGTTTAGTCAACATGTAGAGAGTCATCCACGCCCCCACTATCGTTTGTTTCGATTTATTTTACTACTTCAGTTTCGCAATACTCAGTTCTCATTGCCACAAAATAGCCCCCATTTCGTGGCGTTAACCTAAAAAGTAACATCCTTACTATAACGGTATGAATTATGCGAAATCCGTAAAACTAAAAGGAATCATTATTTTTCCTCTAATCAGACTGAATATAGCCGTCACTCACTCCCGTTTCGTGCAGAATCGGTTTCATTGGATCCAAATTCAGATCAGTTACTGTCGAGTGCACTGCAGAGTAGCAACAAAACTTGCGTTGCATTCTCATCAAGTGTTCACATATTTGTAATGACCTGAATTGAACTTTCTCATGGATTGGTTAGAACGTGCGCACATTTTCGGTTTGCTTGTTAGAAAGCGTGACCGACGAAACAATCATTGCTTGATTTGGCCTTAGGACCAACTAATGAAAAACAACAGTGATGTAGCTTTTAAATTGCACCAAGATACTTACAGGCCCACGGAGTAAACCCCATGGTCAGGAAGATATTGTAAACGAGGAGGTATATGGGAAGTTTTTAAGCGACAACTGTTTCGTTGATTCTGCTTTTGAAGAGAGAAAGGTTGTGAGTGTTTGGAACTACGGAATTGGTAGAAATGTTCCACGGTTTCACATTCCTGGGAAATATTCCTGGATAGAAACCCGATAAAGGTAACTGGCCGCCTGAGGTCGAGATTGTTGAGAAAGGGGAGGAAAGCTGCGATGTGCGTTTGGAAGAGTAGAAAAGTATTGGGTAAAGAAAGGAAAATGTCATAGAGTTGTATTTCTGGTACCACCACTGGGCACCAATGTGAGGTTACGAAAATTACAGCAAAAATTTGGATCAACGTACTCTTATACTGTTCAATAACCTTTTTACCACAAACATCATGGGACGCTTAGTCCTCTGCAAACAGAAATCGAATCACACATGACGAAGTTTATAAAGTTAAATTTCCATTGGTTGGAATGGAATTACTGAGTCGAATGAGAATTCGGTCTGCCAATTCTATGTGATTTACCATCAGCATTCTTTAGATACGGTTTCAGACTGTGTATCATGATTCATGTGTAATGTGTAAATGATAATTGTGTCTGTGCATAGTTCACTGCTTTTGTCCATTCCACAGATTCTTGATCTGTTTGGTGTGGCCACAAAACGTTGTGATGACTTGGAACAACAGCTTACTCAACTGGAACAGGAGTTAGAATTGAGTGATCGAAAAGTGGAAAATTTTCGAAATCAGGTAATTCCGATTTCCGCAGATTATTGGTCAGTTTGGTGTGCACTGTCGACTCTTTTGAGATGTTCCTGGAAATAGTATCCATCTAATGCTTGGCCGAGGTATTGTCCCTCCAAATTGAAAGAATGCCAACAGTCGGATGGGGGTGGGGGGACTGAGGCACCGGATTTCACCCAGGTGTAGTTGGCTAAACAAACCCTGATTCAGAACTATCAAAGAAAAGATTCTCAAATCGCACCCTCATCTTCCTGATTCTGGCAGTGGTCAACGGTCTGATTGGGTTTATTCTCCGATTGCCGTGACTTTGTTGGGTTAGTGCGATATTGTGTGTTCTCCGTTCAAGACCTATCTAGGAGTATTCTTGATCTATTCGAACCTTTCTTGAGAGGGCAACTAAGGAAAACTTTTTCCGGGTCCTTCTCGTTTGCAAATGTTACCCTGGTCAGTCGTGCCCCTCCAGCATGAGGCGACGATGGATGGCGAAACAGCCGCACGATTTCAACTGGGTGAACGTCAGTACCCATTTGGGTGCATAACTCAACCAAGCGACCAAGCTCTTCCACTTGTTTCTCTCTCAATGTGTTGGTTGTGGGCGCTGGTATGTTGGTGCCAATGACTGTTAAGGCAGTGCTGTAAGTTGCCTTTTTATCTTTGGCACAAGATAATACGCCTGCATAACAGATGCTTTAGGTTCAGTGATTTGTGCAGACTCTTGGTCTTTGGTCCTACTATCGCTTACTGTCTTTGGTTAGTCGTCGAGTCCGACACGGAGTATTGGTGGCTTTTTGGTGGGGCCGAAAGTTTTGCGCATGCGACGGATGAACGTACTTTGGATAGTGCCCGACTTGAATTTGTTTCCGTACGTCACCAAACCACACTCCTAATCCGTGTGTTACACTTGGTGAGTCATCCATAGGCACACTGTGACGGACCATTTTGACCTACCAAGAACAGGAATACAGCAGGTCAAATTCTGATCAGTCGGGTAGATCACACGATTGAGGTCGGCGATGGAGAAACAAACATGTGCGTGCGGAAATAACGATGACACGGTATTATATTCCCCAAATTGATTTGTAGCTTTCTTGCAAGTGTGCCCAGAGAGCGTTGAGTCACGTGGGAATTTATCTTTACAATGGTTTCGAAATATTTGTAATGTGAGGAACAATAAACGCTTGCTCGCGTGAATGTTCCTATTAGTTCCTCTTAGATCGAAAATATGACCAAATATTCTGAATTCAAGGATTCATATCCGAGAGATAGATAGAAGATAGAGCTGGCTAAAACGTTTAAGACAAATCCCAGCTCAATACTGTGGGAATCGTTTTAACGGAGAAAATGCACAAAAACCGAGAGCAATGAACCGTCCGCTTGCGGATTTTTTACGTCCTTATTTCCGTCGTACAATCTGGGGTCCAACGAACTGTGTTCGTTAGCGATAGGAGGAAATGGCAGCAAACCGAAACCGATGTTTTGATCGAATCTTATCAGTGGATTTGTAAGTACATAACATAAAATGCATAATATAACAACTATGCTCTTTATGTTGGGCATATTAGTTCAGTTTCTCCTCCCGTTCAAGCAGGGCACTACCCTTAACTGGTAATTCATCGTGTCACACAGAAAGCTTTAACACAGAATCTACCACAGTCGCTCAATTCTTTATGACAGCCTTGGTGTGTGCATTTGGATTCATAGGCTAATCAGTTAATGCATCTTATTGAATAGAATTAATTAATTACCAGATGACTTTGCAAAAACTATAATTGGTATCCCGTATTCTCCTTCGGAATGCTTAACATTGCACGGGTAAAGGATATCTCAGTCAATGTCTTACCTGAACGAAATCACTAATAGTTGGTTAGACATACTGGATGATTTCACTAAATGTCCCAAAATCAAACACCCGTGTTTCCATTTAATTTTCTCATGGGAATGATTGTGTTATTCCCCCTCATATATTCTGACTGTCAGCCAGATATTCTAACGCGGAAATCCTGACCTCGATTTCCCGGACGGTTTGCGGTGAACCACAACTGCCATGTGGTAGCGAAGTTCAGATTTTCAGTTGA